TGACTGAAATAAATAGAGTAAGTGAGGGAAGATATTCATTCTTATTACGTTTACCCTGCCAAATAAGGAAATAGGGAGAAAGTTCCATAATTTAAGATCATGTTTTATATTATTAATAAGTGGAAGATATTTTTGTCAGTAAGGTTATTAAGGTCTGGGGTGATATGAACACCTAAGTATTTAAAACCCTCTAACGCTAATTGAAAAGGGGATGCAACTACCCAAGGTGTGTTAAGGGATATATTTAAAGGTGAAGATTTTAATGATTTTAAAAAATTGATCTTATAACCAGAGAATTTACTGTATTCTGAAATACACTTCATTATAGATGGAATAGATTTTTCTGGGTGGGCCATATACAACAAAATGTCATCTGAGTACACTGAGATTCGGTGGTCCACTCCTCCTGCTCTAATACCTGAAATGTCCTGGTAACATCTAATTGTTTCTGCCAGTGGCTCAATCACCATGGAAAAAAACAATGCAGAGAGAGGGCAGCCTTGTCTTTTTCCTCGACTTATCAAACTTTTCAGAGAGCAACCCATTTGTATTGACTGTAGCGTACGGATCGGCATATAGCAGTTTAACTAAATGAATAAAAGTAGGACCCAAATAATATAATATACAAATAATAGGACGCCAAACAAGAATGGCCATTCAATCCTATCAAATGCTTTCTCTGCGTTGAGAGAAACAATAATGGAGGGATCATTACTTTTTCTAATAAAGTCAATAATATTCAACAGTCTACATATATTATCAGAACCATATCGCATCCTTATAAATCCAGTTTGATCTGGGTTAATGAGTTTAGGTAAGATCACCTCTAATCGTCGTGCCAGAGCTTTAGCAAAGATTTTACAATCTGTATTTATTAAGCTGATTGGTCTGTAAGAGGCGCAGTCTTCTGGGTCTTTGTCTTTCTTAAGTATTAAGCTTATTGAGGCAGTTTTCCAGGTTTCAGGCATGGTAGTTTGGGTACACAGATCCATGATAACTGGCATCAATATAGGTTGAAGTTCAGGCCAAAATGTTCTATAAAATTCAACAGGGTAACCATCCAGTCCCGGTGTTTTCCGTGAAGGCATTGACTGGACGGCACTAAAAATTTCTTTGGGGGAGAAAGGGGCATTAAGACTGCATCTGTCATTGTCTGAGACCACCGGAAGTGGTATATTATCTAAATATGCAGTAATATCAGATTCTAAAACTTTATTTTGGGATTTGTATAAGGATTCATAGTAAGTTTTAAAGGTTGTATTGATCACCTTTGGATCGTATGTATGCGAACCCGTCAATGTCCTCACAGATTTTATTAATCGCTCTGAATGTTCTTTTTTAATCTGATAAGCCAATAACCTACTAGGTTTGTTCCCATATTCATAATACTTTTGTTTAGAAAGGAATAGTAATTTGTTAATATGACTTGTATATTCTAGATTAAGTTTAGCTCTGGCACTACATAAAGAAGCCCAGTTAGATTTGTTAGGATTTGATTTGTGCAACTGCTCATGATATGCTACTTCTTTTTCTAAATACATCCGATTTTGTATTTTCATTTTTTGACATGATGAGGTGTAAGATATAATATGCCCACGGATTGTGGCCTTCAAAGCTTCCCATCGCATAAATGGTGAGACATTACAGTCCTTGTTAAATTCCCAATATTCTTTGATCCAGTAACGCACTAGGTCACAGAATGCAGAATCCGATAGAAGGGAACAGTTAAATCTCCAGAGTCTGCTTTTACATACAGGAGTGCCAAAATTAACATGTACACTAACTGGGGCATGATCTGATAAGACAATTGAACCAATCTGGCAGGACTGGACTGTGTGGACAAAGCTACTTGGGATAAAGATATAGTCGATTCTGGAATAAGAAGCATGTGGGTTAGAATAAAAAGTGTAATTTCTAGTCGATGGGTTCAGTTCTCGCCAGATATCAACTAGATCAGTATTCTTACACATGTCTTTTAAAACTGATGAAGATCTAGAATTAGAAAATGTGCTGGGTGAAGATCTATCCATTACATGGTCCAATGTGCAGTTAAAGTCACCTGCCAAGAGTCCCATCCCTTTACGATGTTGATTAAAAGATAATACTATGTCCAACATAAATTTGGGGGAATCCTCATTGGGGGCATAGACACTAAGTATGGTAACATGTTGACCCAACAGTATACCTGAAATTAAAACAAATCTTCCCTCAGGGTCATTAATTTGAGATTCACATATAAACGGTAGATGCTTACTAATTAAGATTGCAGTACCTCTTCTGTGTGGCATTGAGGAGTAAGAGGAGAAGAAAACCTGCCCAACCCAATCTCTTTTTAATTTTAAATGCTCTTTATCGGAAAGGTGCGTCTCCTGGAGAATTGCTATAGAAGTTTTCTCTTTTTTCAAAAAGGTTAAAATTTTTTTCCGCTTAACTGCGTGGCCCAAACCCTTTACGTTCCATGTAGTACATTTATATAGACTATCCATATCTTATCAGAAAAAGGATGTATGTCTTGACTATATGTGTGGCCCATGTGAGAGACTGAACATTGAGTGCCTTTTGTAATCTAACAACTACAGAACGACCCAGTAAAACCCATATCCACCCTCCCAACCCCATCCCCAAACGACAGGGTAACAAAACTACAAATGAAGCATAGTGCCCTATTGGCATGATCAGGGGGAACAACATGAAACGCCCAGAGAACGGCAGCAAAGCAACCGAGACAGCCCCAACCATCGGCAAAAACAAAAATGACAGACATGACGCCAATCACCACTAGAGGAAAAGAAGATAAAAATACATACATAATTAAAAAAAAAATACTACTTGTTATAGTGAATGCCATAATTAGAACGAGTTCCGCATCACAACTGGGCCGAGACAAACGTGATTTGCATCAACCGTATGCATTCCATAAAACAGAGCCTCGAACCCGGAGAATGGCGCCTGTCAGCTATTCACCCCAGTGACTCGCGAAGTCATAGTCATTCAACAGTTTTTTCCGCTAACTCCTGTGAATGTGTGGCCTCAAGAGTTTTCAAGAAATCCTGAGCTGCAGCCGGTGTCGAAAACAGATGTATTTTCCCTTTGTGAAGACACCGCAGCTTTGCGGGGTAAGCAAAGCCCCGGTACATGTGCTTAGCCGCAAGAGTATTTTTCACCGCTTCGAACTCCCGGCGACTCCTCATTACCTCTGCGGAGAAATCTTGGAAAATATGAATGGTGCTATTGTTATGCAGGACGTGCCGTTTCACCTGGGCAGCTCGAAGCACCATCTCCTTGTCGGTGTAGCGCAAGAACCGGACCGTAATGTTCCGTGGCATCGTCTTCGAATTTGAGAGCACAGTAGGTGTTCTGTGCGCCCGTTCGATCTCCAAGCTCAGTTCGGCGGGAAGCTCCAGCCAAACAGGGAGCATATCTCTTAGAAACCTTGCCAAATCGGAACCCTCAGCTTTCTCAGGGAGACCGATTATTCTCAGATTTTTGCGCCGGCTCCGATTTTCCAGGTCATCAACTTTTGTTAGCAATTGCGCTAGCTCTCCTTTCAACTTAGCTATCGCGGTCTGCTGAGTATGTGCGGAGTCGTCCAGCGTGGAGATCCTGTTCTCGGCTTCAGACAGGCGGGCTTCATTAGAGGAAACTCTCTCTGTTAAAGTGACCAGCGATTCCTGCAGTGTGGATATGGAGCTACCGATGGTATTGAGGCGCGTGTCGATGCTGTCCAGCCGAGAGTCGATTAATCCAAGTCGAGAGCTAATTTCTCGCATTTCGGTTAGCACTGGGTCGTTTTGGCTAGAGTCGCCATGTTCGTCGAGGCTCTTCTTCTTAGCAGTGCTGGTGCGTTGAGGCCGTGAGGCATTAAAGAGCGGAAAATCTTGACTTTCTTGCGATTTAGACATGTCTTCAACACTTTAGGCGTTGAATAAAATAAAAAACAACAGTCTGTCCCTGGAATAAAATGATATATTTCCGACGGTGGGAACGGCGCCCAGATCTAAGCAGCCATCCGTTAGAAGGTCACGTGCCCCCCTCTGTTACATCTTTAATACCTTAGGCTTTCTTTTTTTTTCTTTGTTCTTTCCATTTCCAATTTTATGGTGCTAAAAAAGTTTTGGGGGAGATCTTTAAATTCACCTGACAATGTTGTTTATATAATATAATATAATATAATATAAGATTCAATATATCAAAAATATACTAATTTATAAATGTAGAAGAGTAACACATTCCCAATAACACAGCAAAATAGTCTAAATATATTTTAGCTCAAACTCAGATATTTTAGCCACCAGACACTAGATCTGATGTGGTGTGTGTGTGAGGTAAGAGAGTGAAAGACACCAACCACAAAACACAGCATTTCTTTGTCGTCTGTGTGTGTGTGTGTGTGTGTGTGTGAGTGTATCTGTGTGTGTGGGGGGGGGTTGTTGTGTGTGTACGTGTGAGTGTGTGTGTCTGTGTGTGTGAGAGAGAGAGTGTGTGTGTGTGTGTGTGTGTGTGTGTGTGAGTGTGTGTGTCTGTGTGTGTGAGAGAGAGTGTGTGAGTGTGTGTGTCTGTGTGTGTGAGAGAGAGTGTGTGTGTGTGTGTGTGTGTGTGTGTGTGTGAGAGAGAGAGTGTGTGTGTGTGTGTGTGTCTGTGTGTGTGTGTGTCTGTGTGTGTGTGTGTGTGTAAGTGTGTGTGTGTGTGTGTGTGTGTGTGTGTAAGAGTGTGTGTGTGTGTGTGTGTGAGAGTGTGTGTGTGAGAGAGAGTGTGTGTGTGTGTGTGTGTGTGTGTGTGTGTGTGTGTGTGTGTGTGTAAGAGTGTGTGTGTGTGTGTGTGTGTGTGTGTGTAAGAGTGTGTGTGTGTGTGTGTGTGTGAGAGTGTGTGTGTGAGAGAGAGTGTGTGTGTGTGTGTGTGTGTGTGTGTGTGTGTGTGTGTGTGTGTGTGTGTGTGAGAGAGTGTGTGTGTGTGTGTGTGTGTGTAAGAGTGTGTGTGTGTGTGTGTGTGTGTGTGTAGAAACAGTAAGTCAGTAACTCACTGTAGTTTCTCCAGTTTACACTCTTTCTTCTTCAGTAGCTCACAGAGCTTCTTCACTCCTGAATCTCGTAGATTATTCTCATTCAGGTTCAGCTCTTTCAGCTGTGTTGGGTTTTCTTTCAGAGCTTCAACCAGAGCAGCACAGTCTTCATCTAAAATCCTGCAGCTAGCCAGCCTGCAGAGAGAAAAAACTCCTCACACTTACAGCTCAACAAATACATAGAACACAATCAAGTAACAAAACACACATTAAACACCAGAACACACACACACTCACACACTCACACACACACACTCACACACACACACACTCACTCATGAATTAGAGAGGTAAAAAGTGCTGTTGAATACCAGCAGCCTTGACTTGTTTCTTATACAGACACAAAAAGGAAACACATGAGCTGCATTATTTTATTTGCATTTACATTATTAATTCAGCAAATGTGCTTTTATCATAACTAAGCAGGTCTTTTAATCCACAAACATTACCCACATTTTTAATATTTGCTATTCATATTTAGTCCTTTTTATTCAATATGTAAAACACACATAATAGTCTATGAATGGAGATCTGCTTCTGTCTCCCTCAGGGGGTTCGTTCAGGGGCTGCACCCTGCATCTCTAAAGCTGCTCTGTGATGATGTCTCTTAAAAAAGTGCTGTACAAATACTGATCATTTGAAATGAACTGATCTGAACCGTCCACAGGACCACTGTGAATGGTGATGGTGCCCATCATGCCAGTCTTGTTCCCTGTAAACCTGTACAGAATCATTACATTCTTGTGTGTTCTGGCTTTTCTGCATACCCATAATCCCATGTGTGGCCCTGTCATGGTATAAATGTAACCCAGTAGAAAAATGAGTTCATGAAGTCTCCAAAGCTTTCTGTGATTTAGTGCATATAGCCGTCTGTTTAAAGTATTAAAACTCTTCTAGCCAGAGCAGAAAAATAAGTTCATAATACATTTCTTAATTTTGTTTATTAAAGTAAATGAATCAGTAGCCTAGAACTAAATAAAATAAATAAATAACTGAAACATACGAGCATCGTGCTTAACCTTAAGCTAATGGGAGTAAACAGCCATCATTTTCGAGTTTTGGAGGAACAGCACCTAAAGATGCCCGTTAGTGTGAACAGTCAACTCCACAAAAAGTAGTACAGTTGTATCTGGAAGGGCTCAGTACTATTCTTCAGTAAGGAAATAAGTATAACTCAGTTTATTGCTGAAATATGAGTTTTGTGCATATGAGTCAGTGTGTTTATGGTTAAAGTTCATTTTAAAAACTGAATTACTTACTGATTATACCAGTTAAAAGCAATGATGTGCATCACTGGGATATAAATAATTACAGGTGTGATTTGTTAAAAAAAGGAAAAGAAGGAAAGAGAAACAAACTTTAGCTGAATGACACTGAACACCTATATTGATGCTATTTGACTGAAGAGTTGACGGACAGAACAACTTCTCTGGAGTAACTGAGTGGAATCCAGTTACTGTGAATGTGGCTGAGGCTGTAATTCTGTTTTTATTCAGAATCATAGCTGGAACACATTTCATATCTGATACCCAACCTGTGACTCACGCAGGTCACTGAGTCCACGGTTTACTTCTGACTCCTCTCTACAAACATGGACTCTGATCTACCATAAGGTCATTTAAGTGACCAATTTCACTAACTAGCAGTTTTGGGCTACATAAACATTAGCCATGTAGCTCTGATCAGCCTGTTCTGTGTCAGTGTTGAGCCAGACTCTGCTGAATGAGGGATAATCTACCCAGCTGGCTTTTGCAGTAAACTGTTAATGTACCATTCATATGAAGTTCATGTGAGATTATTACCCCTCTCTGCTCAGCAGGGGGGCTTTGTTCTCTGGCCAACAACCGAGTGTTAAATCCAGAACCACAAGTCTGTGATCACCCAGTTAAGGGCGCTGCACCTTTCCTAAAACGCTTCATGTTCCTGCCTCTTCCTTCTGATCATCACAGACCTGAGGAACTACACTTTACTGAAAACACAATGTGTCCAAATCTTACAGTCTCATATTTATACGTTTGGAGATAAAGATAGACTTGAGTGGAGCTGAACAAGAATCTACACTTAAACATTTTATAGTGTTTTAAAAGTCTGTAAAGCTGAAGTACACAAACACATTTACAGTGTTCAACTCTGAATACACACATCTCCACAGCAGTTTAACTGACACGACATGTGAAAATGTTACAGACAGAAAATAATGAATGATTTTAAGAACGCAATTCTTATATAAGCAGAACTCCAACTGTGTGTGTGTGGGGGGGGTGAGTGTGTGTGTGGGGGGGTGAGTGTGTGTGTCTGTGTGTGTGGGGGGTGGGGGGGTGAGTGTGTGTGTGTGTATGTGAGTGTGTGAGTGTGTGAGTGTGTGTGTAGAGACAGTAAGCCAGTAACTCACTCCAGTTTCTCCAGTCTACACTCTTTCTTCTTCAGTAGATCACAGAGCTCCTTCACTGCTGAATCTCTTGGATTATTGTTGTTCAGGTTCAGTTCTATCAGGCGTGAGGGGTTTTCTTTCAGAGCTTTAATCAGATCAGCACAGCCATCTACTAACCTGCAGTCAGCCAGCCTGCAGAGAGAAGAAGAAAAACTCCTCACACTTACAACTTAACACACACAATAAAGTAATGAGCAACGCACAGATTAAACACTATAACACACACACACACACGCACACAAACACACACACACACAAACACACACACACGCACACAAACACACACACACACACACACACAAACAAACACACACACACACAAACAAACACACACACAAATGGAAAAAGTTGCAATACACTCAATGTTGTTCTCCACATGAGAGATTTGATTATTTGAAATATTTGATATTAACATTACAGTTTCTGAAAATACTGTTTTCACAGTTCACTGATTTTCAGCTCATTTATTCTGAGACACTGTAGAAGCAAAATAGACCCAAAACACAGTTTCACCATCATTAACACACTCAAACTGGAACATGAGGAACAATAAAAACCTGCAGCTCATTCACAGAGTCAATAAACCACAACAGCAGAAACACAAACACATGTTCTGATTTACACTCTGTTCACAATTTACACTCATACGCAAAAGTTTGTGCGCCCCGGGTCAAAGTGTTAAAGAGTGCTAAAGACACGTCTCGCAACCCCCAACTGCCCTCCCCTTTGGCAACCTGGAGCAGAAGTGGGGAGGGGAGGTGGCTCACCTCAAAACAGATCTACTTTGACCCAACGGTCTGAAGACCTTTTCCTTTTGACTAACAGTTTAAGTGCAAGTGAATGGAACTTCATGCCACCCCTTTATAAACATCCTGAAGAGACCTTTGGACATCACAGAAGTAAATTTTGGATACCGATAAATTGTGACTTTTGAAAATTCCTTTCCCTCTCTCTCACACCCATACATCTCACCTTCCCCCACAAAGAGAGACATCTTATCTAAAACAAAGGCCAAGGATGGCCCACCAATCAACCCTGGGTGAGGGGACTGTTGAGACCTCACGGATCCCTGAGCAGACCCCTCGGTGTGGCCAGATACTCTTCAGTGCATTCCTTCAGTCTCGTAAACCGTGGGTCTGTGCAGAGACTAGGCTCCTGAGAGCCCTGCTTTCTGGCAAATTATTCACAATATGATCTCTAATAAAGTATCAATCAAATGCCTTTCCTTTATCAAACTGTGAGGAACACCTCTGTTACTGTTAACATGTTGCATTGTCAGACATGAATCGATTAATCCCTGCCAAAGGAAATTAACACCAAACTCTCTACAGTATACTCTGTTATACTCTAGTAGTTATTTTCTTGATCCTTGAATTGCAACCTTTTTTCATTGATCTATGTTATTGTGTTGATCTTTGATCATTCGCAACTATGTTCATTTCACCCGTTTTATTAATTTTTCTTTTGTTTGAGAAACATACAACCCTTATGTTTATTAATTACAGTTAATCTTATATATTGCTTTTCTTGCAAGTCTTCTTGTAGTGCTATTCGAAGTAGGATTCTAATGTTTGTAGCTTGTGTGACTATGTACATTTAAACATTGAGTTTCTGCCAACATATCTACAGAAATATTGATGATAATGTACTCACTTATTTTACTCTGAGTTATTACGTAACCGTTTGTGTAAGCATTGTTTAGAAATAGTAATGTGACGTATAACCTCGAAATTGTCTTAACAATTTAATTCTCTGGTCTAAGAAGTTCCTACTTCTTATAAGACTAGAATGGTTAAGGATTCAACTAATTGTATGTAACCATATCATGGTTTACGTTAAGGGATAATGATCTGTAAGCTCCATAGTCATTTGTAATAGTCACTATGGAAACAGTAATGTTTTATATGTGAGACTGCATGCTTGTGAGTTTCTTTTACTTTAGTGTAACCACACCCAGAATCTCCAAAGGATTATGTGACACTTGAGCAGCATTCAAAGAAATTGCATATTTATTATATGCAACCTAACAAACCAACCAAAACCTTTTCCCTGCCTTAGCTCCGCCCCTCAAAGTTCTTTCCTTAAAGCCAGCAAGGAGCAGAAACAGACAGGAGAACAGAACAAGAAACGGAGAGACAGGGAAAGTTGGCCCTGAAGGGAGCGAGACAGCCAACATGATGTAACCTTAACGAAACTCCAAGTAGAGAAGCCCGTTCTCCTCGTTTTTGCACTTTAGCTAAGTTCTGCAGATTTTAAATGTTAGTTGTTTGTCTTGTGTCTTAATCTGTTTTGTTTCATTTACTCAGTAATTAAAGTGTAACTGTAAGGTTAGACTATTGAAGAGCTGCATCTGGCTGCGTTTGTTTTTCAAGTTTCGTTAATCCATTTTGAAAGTCTAACTGCCGACGAGAGGCCGCTCAGAACCTAGTTTTAGAACAGAAACAGAGGCAAAACAGTGCTGACTGAGATCCACATCAAGAGCCTGCTCCGACCACCGCCTGCCTCCATCGCCAAGAAGATCTGCGCTCCTCACCGGAGAGGCCACCAAGCACCGCAAGAAGCCTGCCTTGCCAGTGGGGTCCGGTCCACAGTGTCGACCAAGGGCTCACACCTCTTGCGGCCTTGCCTTTGACCTGCAGACCCTTCCTAGCCTGTGTGAGCAGCGGCTTCTCTTCCTCAACGTGGCACGTGCATCAACACGGCTCTGAGGCGTCCAACAGCTTTGACCTTTGACCTGTGGACCCTGCTCCAGCCCTTGCCAGCAGCGGCCTCTCTTCCCCTCAACGCGACACGTGCATCACCGCAGCTCTGAGGCATCCAGGTCGTAGATTCACTCGCGCTGCCCTTTGTGGTCTCAGCCTTACTGTGATTTGCTTTTCTTTATTGACACTTAGGCCAGCTTTACACTAGTGTCAGGGTTGTTCTGCTTGCTGCTCAAAAGCCACATAATTTGGAAAATCAGCTAATATGAGTACTTTTGTTCAGTATATTCAATATCTCTGGTTTCTTTCCATAACTAGTAATCCAATATTTAGTGCCTATATACCTTTGTAACCCATTGCTTTTTGTTTATATACTTCTATCAATAAATATCCCTTTATTACAGTCATCTCTGTCACGGTGTGCATATGAAAAAACTTCAATTTGGTTCTGTTCCGTGGACCATGGTCAAGCCCTCACTTGAATTTAATTTAAATATCCGTGTCTTACAGTAAGTGGGAAATTATGTGCTTTTGAGGCCTTGTCCCGCTACACCTACTACTGCGCACTATGCGCCTCAGCATCTGCTGACCCCGCTCTGTCATTTTACGAGGCCGACCACTTCGTGGCTGAGTTGCTGTCGTTCCCAATCGCTTCCACTTTGTTATAATACCACTGACAGTTGACTGTGGAATATTTAGTAGTGAGGAAGTTTCACGACTGGACTTGTTGCACAGGTGGCATCCATTCACGGTACCACGCTGGAGTTCACTGAGCTCCTGAGAGCGACCCATTCTTTCACTAATGTCTGTAGAAGCAGTCTGCAGGCCTAGGGGCTTGGCTTTATACACCTGTGGCCATGGAAGTGATCGGAACACCTGAATTCAATGATTTGGATGGGTGAGTGAATACTTTTGGAAGTATAGCGTAAATTGAGGAATGACAATAAAGACCACTTTAAAGACTTGACTTTATTTGCAAAAATATCAGCTTCAACCAAGTATGAAAACTTGTGTTTGAATTTGGCTTATTTAACATTTGCTATTTCTATTTCTATCAAGTCTTTTTAACTCAATTTATCAAAATATGCATAAAAATATGTGAATGGAAATCTAGCTTGTCTCCCTCATTGGTGTTCATTAGAGAGCTGCATCCAAATTTCTCAAAAGCTGCTTTGTGATGATGTCTGTTCTAAAAAGTGCTGAATAAACACACACACACACACACACACACACACACACACACACACACACACACACACACACACATTTTCTAAACCGCTTATCCTTCTGGGTCGCGGTGTATAAATACTGCACATTTAAAATGAACTGATTTGAATTGACCATATGACTGTTTGGTTGTGAATGTTGAAGTTGTCCCTCCTCACCCCACCCTTGTTCTCTACAAAACCGCACAAAATATTGACATTCCTGGATTTATTACATTTCATATTCTCATGTGAAAGATTGATCTCCAGGTACAGGACATGTTTGGTTGCTGTTGTTGCTGCTGAAGGTGACACATCCAGTTATTAAGTTTAGGGGACAATTATTTTTTAACATGAGTGACAAGAACTTTTTTCTTTTAATAAATGATCTTTTTGATGCCACCAAGCTAGGAATGTGAAGGCTGACGTGAAACACATAGCGCTTCACCACATCTTCAACCTGCTGTTAACACAACAACATTGCAGAGCACAACATGCCTGGAGGAGAACGCTAACTGCTAATTCTGCTGTATCAGCTAACAGACGCCCTTGTTGGTTAGCAGTCAACAGTTGGAGTCCCAGACACAGACGGCTGTGAAATCTTTTGAGCAAAGCAAAATAATCCTGAGCTACCTGTGTAACTGAATATATAAAAGTCCTAAACTCACTGTAGAGAGCTGAGTTTCTCACTGAGCACATCAGTGTGTAGATCATTACTACAAAGCTCTACTCCTGTGATTTCATAAGTGTTTCATCTAATACAAATATACTGTATTAAAGAGAGACGAGAGATCTGAGTGCAGTGATTCATTTAGAGAGTGATTTGTGGAAATTTGCAGTTTCTTATTTATTTTGCGTTTAGAGTTTCAGAAAAACGAGCTCAATAAAAATGTCTGTAAACACTTGAGAAAATGGTACATATTTTATCTGTTTTGTTTAGAAATGTGTATTTTTGGATTTAGCTATCAAAATCATTTTGTGAGCTAAAGTAAACATTCAGAGGTCAGAGTCTCGGTCCGTCCCTCTTCTCATTCGTGTGTGTGTTTGTGTGTGTGTGTGTCCACTAGTGTGCATGTATGTGGGTGTTTCACTGCATGGATGGGTTAAATGCGGAGGTCTAATTCTTCTGTGTTCAAACACTGTTGGCTGATGGTTCTGAATTCTATTCTGTTTCTTGGCGAAATTTGCAGAATTACTGTGAACTGCATCCACTACCTACAGTAAA